CTCACGTAAGGGGCCATTCATGACTCATTACTCCGATAATTACACACTGTGCCACACGCGGTCGGACAAAAGTCCCCCAACCGAACCGGTGTAGTAAATTATTGCTAAAAAGCTGAAAAGATGAGTGGCTAATAGGATATTTACAATTTTTAATTTACGACTAGTAAGCATGGGCGGGGATGACTTCAACTGGTCACTGTTCTATTTGTCCTCAGGAGTACAAATGAGATATTTCTTCCCCCTTGCAAGCAGAGTTTTGTACCAAAATGGACTTGCGAAATGTCTTAATGCTTGCCAGTGAGTACAAAACAATTGTAACGGTTACGTAAAAAAAGTAACAAATAGCTCCAAATACATTTCACCAGAAACGTCTTTTAATGGTTACGATTATGTTATGATTGTTTTTTTTCTTTACGCTGTGACTGCAAGATGACGATTTAGAGCCTTTATAAAGTGGCAAAAAACTTTCAACGGAAAGATTAAGTTTTAATATTCACGGGATGCAACAGCTCAAATTTACAAGGGCGAACGATTTGCTCAGAGGGCACAAAAGTTTAGCCTATTTAAAGATGAGATAACATATTCAGCAGTCCGTTCGGAGACTAGGTAGTTCCGTGGGTACTAAAATGCTCTTGCTGTCAGTCTGTATTAGCAAATTTTGGAATGACTTCAGAAACGCTTATAAATGCAGCTGTTTTAGGTTATATGTATCTTGGTTCACATAGTCGTATTCTGTTGAACTCGCCTGTTACAGCAAAGATACTAACCCAGTTCAATCGGAATAGAGGGAGTGATGCACAGTCTAGGTAACAGGAAAGTAATCAATCTGTTAGTCAAAAAGGGCATGGATATGTACACAAATGATTAAATATCATCCATGAGATGCAGTCTCCTGAACTTGTCCAAGTTGTAGAATGCACCTCTAACAGTGCGACCGCCAAAGTACCTTCCATTGAGATCAACAAGAGCTGAAAAGGAAAGAAAACATGGATTATTAGATCTTGGTACCGAATCATTCATCCAACTCAGAATTAAAAGCCTTTGTAGGGAGAGTCTAGAATTAGATCATCGCGTTACTGGCCACCCAGCATTCCCTAGCAACTCTGACAGAAATACGTTTATACAAAAGCTATAGCCTACATTGCAGGCGTTTTCCTCTGCTCGCGTAACTGCCAGTGTTGAACTCAAAATAGTCGAGGTGTTGCCCCGATTCAAAGAGGCCGTGCAAGGCTACTACCCTATTCCTTTTTTTGTAAAAACAAAGATGGTGTCTCTGGTATGACGTCATTTGCCAAAAGCGCTAGTCGCAACGTCAAAACTACCTAGTTTCGGTCTACGTGATAGTGGATCATGTTTTGATATCAGTAAACGATATAAATGATAGTTTGATACAGAACAGCAACGGTAAAGACGGGTAACAAATGTGTCACTGTGTAAAATAACCGATTCATATCCACCGAGTAGTCTTGAAAGGCGGTAAGTTTGAGCTATATTTAAATAACCTGTCTTTAGATTTCAGTAACCTTTAATCGCTGATTCAACTCGCTGAAACTCAACAAAAATGCGCACTGTCTCTTCCTCTTCCATGACACCTTGTGGGAACTGAATGAAGACAAACATAACACTTCGTTACTACGTAAACGCTTATTAAGGATACAGTATGTCTACACAAGTCCTTTGAAGTTTGAAACACACACACACACATTCAAGGCTTTCATGTACACACGAACGATGTAATCGGTCCCGCGGGTTGGACAAGTTCACAAATGTGTGTTTCTACTAACGTACATGAACTTGTGCAAACATTGCCTAAGCGGCTCGGCCCGGTGACAGTGGTCAACGCATTGGATCCACAATCTGACCACTGGCTGGATTGTTTCTTGTTACTGGGATGCCCCTTTCTGGGCACGCCTAGTTATAATTTCGATTTTCGGTCGTCTGTGCAGAAAAAACGGTCATCATGCGGAGGGGGTGGGAGGGGGGAAGACACGAGGGTCTGGTACCGAGAAACGATGTTCTCTAAAGTGGTTACATACGATTTTCCCTTGCCCGAATATCCCCCCCCCCCCCCCCCCCACAAAACCCCACGCGCGCGTTTTTTGATCACTCCGCTTCTCCAGGCCCCTTTATATATTTTTTTTTTTTTTGTGTATTTGTGGAATTTTTTTTTTTTGTTGGGGGACATCAAAAGAAATCCCTATGTTAGTTAAAAAAACCAACCCGCCGCCCACAGCAGTCGCTAATAACACTGGTTTGTAATTTTTCGTTTCTGGGGGCTGTGGAAAAAAAAAGGGTCTGGTGGGGGGGGGGGGGGGGGGGGGGAGACACACGGGGCTGTTTGCGAGAAAAGAACTTTTCTTAAAAGGGTTTAAAAACATTTTCCCTTCCCCCAAAACCCCCCCCCCCCCCCCACAGAAACCCAGAGTTGCGTTGTTCGAAGCGATTCGATCATAGGAGTCACTTAATAAGTTTTGTCATTGTTCGAGTTTAAGTGAATTGATTATGTTGGCGCTGGGAAACTCAGAGAAATGCTCACGTTGCATTAAAAACCCATACGCCGTTCACGATAGGTTCACACTTAAAGATGGCTGTGAGCGTCAGTTTAGGAACACTAGGGCCGTATCGTGATCTCAAAGAGAGAATTAACGATCGATGTAGTTCGTGAGTAATTAATTAGCACAATTTATGAGCAAACTATTTTACGAATTGATGACACTATGGCTGAAGACTTGATTGTAAGCTGTTTGTCACAGCCGATATTTCAATGTTACCTTGAGGACGGAACTCAGTTTCATCAGAGCGTTATTGTAGCAATTCTGCACAACTCAGCAAATCTAGTTTAACTCTTTCGTATCTTTCTAAAACTCCGCGGCTGAAATAAGCGTATTATTCAAATACAAATAGCAGGCAGTGACATGTCCACAAATATTGGAACACCTGACATGTAATTTCAGTAGAACACGTGTACTTCTGTACGTGTCTCTTTGTTAGACAAGAACTATTTTGCATTTCAAAGGAACAACTGTTGTGCTCTGTTCATTCAGCTTGATTTACAACATGAGTTTTTCTAAAAGTCCAGGAACCGAAATAGGAAGTATTGTATTTTCACCATAAAGGAAAAGTCTTTTAACCAATCGAATTGTAACGCGTTGATCAGCTAGCACGTGTATTTTTGAATAGGTTTTTGTGTTCCTTTGTGATAATCGAACACCTGTGTTTACTGTAGACTGCCAAAAGTAGTGCATAAACTGTTGTAAATCGATCACCTAGCCCGCGATTACCTGCGATTATATGTGAAGTACTATCTACGAGGTTTACTCTACAAAAAAGAAGTTGCAGCATTACAGAAAAGTCTCAGTTCTTGTCCAACCTTCGTACCTTGGGACGTGGAAATTAGACCCTGTACCTCTGGGAGTAGTAACGAGTGCCAGCAGCGAGCCAGTCGCTCTACCGAATTGCAGTTTCCCCTGACAATAACTTCCATTAGCAGATCACTATTTGCTAATTCTCGCGCCCTCGCGAAGAGCTTTAGTTCCGTTGTTTTCCTTGTTCGACTTTCCTGCCAATTTAGTTTGACAGTCTGAAAAGCCGCTTGACACAGTGAAATTTCCTCCCGTTACATTGGTGGAGAACCTGGGCATTTCTACTGTCTCTACTGCGACCGGGAGGATAAAGTTGCAAGACAAGACTACCACAACTTCAAGGTAATCCCTCGGAAACGTAAAACTTTCCGACTTCTCATTCTTTTACTCCAGTAGAAGATTACACAACGGCCACCCCGCCGTCTCGTGGTTATCCATGCAGTTGAATTGACTGAACTATTTATCCACGAAGGGCATTGTTACCCAATATTTATCCACGAACTTTTACCTATTTGTTCGACATCGAAAAAGGAAAAAAAGAAAAGAAAAACTTTGCTATTCCATAGCAAACCAAAAAGAAAAAGAAGAAAAATAAACAAAACGTTTATCCATCCTACCTTATGAAAAAGAGTAGTTCCAAAAGCTACCACAATTTCCGTCCAAGATTTCGTTTACTTACTGGATCATTCCAGAAGAAATCCGCTACCAGTCAACAAATTGTAGAAGATTATTGCGACCAGTGCGCCCGAGAAGGAAACGAAAATCAAATACCCTGTGAACGTTGTTTACAAGAAAACGCTGATACCACGAATACCATTAATCCCCCCGAAGGAGAAATTAAGAACCAAGAGCCATTAAACACGGATCAATCGGAATCACCGTCAATTTTACATGCTTTGAATACACTCAGTGAAAATCCCGCCATAATTCCAAGCCCAACTGCCGAGAGGACAGACACCTCAAGTGAATCCAGTCCAAGCAATACAGAAGAAAGCGCTTCCGAAGAATCCGCCATTATACGAAGAAACACCACTTATTTGAGTACCAAAACGCCCGAGAAACTATTCCACAACGAGAAAGAAGAAAGTTCAGACCAGTTAGAATACGACGATTTTATTCCCAGTTGTTCAATCAACAGTTCCAGTGAAGATATTTTTACTCAGTCTAAAATGGCAACAGAAGGAATTTCGATCTACAAAGAGAAATGGTAGATTTACAGCGCCAAATGTGCCAACAACTTGAAGCTGCACAAGTTTCTTTGTCCACCCCACATGTAACAGAATCTATTGTTGTCAAGCCTACGTTATTCCATGAACGCGAAAATGAAATTGTTGATCGTTGGCTTCAGCGTTTCTCCTTATACCTTGTCAACGGAAAACTATCGTGCTCAAGAGACCAGGCAGCTGTTAAACTGGCTCTTCACCTTTCTGGGCCAGCAGAAACATTTTATTATAATCCTCTTAGTTCAGTACAAGCTTCGTACACCTTGTTGAGAGACGCATTGAAGGAACGTTTTTCTCCTACTCATCGCCACCTAAAAAACCGACCAGAACTGTCAAAACGCCGCCAAGGTCCATCTGAATCTATTGAAACCTACTTAGCAGATTTGAATGAAAAATTTAGCTGCCTAGATCTTCGTGATGACGATAAAATTTGTTACCTTATTCAAGGACTACGTGCAGATATTCAAGCTGAGGTATTAAAAAAGGAACCTAAAACTTACAACGAGCCAGAAGAAACAGCAAGACTTATTTACTCCATTCAACAGTCCACCCTTAAGAGAAAAGAAGAAGATGTCTCACGTATTGTACAGGCTGCTAGTTGCGTGCCTTCAACAACTAATGCAGGCGCAACTTCTGAAGTACCAGGTGCTCTTACTCGAATACAGCATCAACTTGATAACGTAATGTCAACTATGGCCAAAACGCCCTCTAAGTCAGAAGCCGCTTTAAACGCATACCAGTACTCGCCCCAGTACACCACTGCTATAGATAGTAAAATGACACGCCTTGGAGAGAGAATGGAGCAACTCATGAAAATGGTTGGAAACCGCCCTCAAGAAAGTACAGGGCTTAAAACTGCTGCTTACCAGCCTACCGCTATTTAATCGGCAGATGAAGAACTGAGGTACTTACAAGAACAAGTTCGTCAGTTAAGGGGCATAACTTCAGAAGAACATTTTAATGCTATTGCAGCCTATCAGCCCTCTACAAGTGAACGTAATCACTCTGGCAGTGAATCAGAAGAACTGCGGCGCCTTAGGGAAGAAAACAGATTTTTAAGGACCGCTCAGTGTTGTTCACAACAACTACAGCAGTTTCACAACCGCATGAATTACAGTGGACAAGATGCATCCCATTTACAAGAAAGAATGATGAATGAAATACGTCGAATGCAAGCTCGCATAGACGGGTTCATGAAAGCCCACACAAATAGAAACAATCGACAAGAACAACCGAGAGTACGGACCCGGGAGGGGCGCCCGGTTTGTGACATCTGTGGTCGAGTGGGTGACGTGAGACAGAACTGTTATGCTAGAGTTGATCAACGAAATCAATATCAAAATCCTCGAAACACTCAGCCACACACACGGACAGGCCCAAGAACTGCTGCTTTAGAAGCCGACGGTACCACAGAACTAGTTGTTGCCCAGTTTAATCAGCCAAACCACCAACAGACAGAGCAAGAAGCACAGCCTGAAGGAGCTTATTATGCAAGACGAAGCAATCCACCCATATTTTGGTCTACAGAGGTACCAAGAATAAGTACCATTCAAGCTGTCCAGCCAATTAACTACAATTCAATGAAGAAGAATGAGGCACGTGCACGCGATATACTTAAGACTGATTTTACTGAACCAACTCTAAACTCAAAACGTCAGAGCCACTCTGATCAGACTCAGAGTACATTTCACCCTCAGCACAGTCAAGAGAATGCGACAGAACCAGAAACCTATACAAAAACCAAGCCTAATTCTTCAGAAAAGGTAATCGTGATGACCAACAGCCACAAAGAAAATCTGCAAGTGACAAATGCAACGCAAACTGTTGCCACACATAGCGACCCTGCTGAAGAAGACCAAGTGCGCATTATATCAAGTGATGAACGCTACACGATTGCAGACGACTCTCTTCAGTCCGCGCCAGATCAGGAGCCCACTCACCAGCGACAGGAGTTATCGAGTTCAAATCAAGAGACTAGAGTCCACTCAAAATCAAACAGAAATACACAAGGGTCTGCAATGCATAAGAAGATCAAACCCACACAGCGTAGTTTTCCACCAAATAGACCGCAACGGACCGCCTTTGTCATTGGTAAAATAAATGATTGTCCAACGAAACTACTCATTGCCTCGGGAGCTTATCTCGGTGATAAACTACGAATTTGTCAAGGAAGTCCTTCATGATGACGCCCATCCTGAAATGACCCCGAGTACTTTCCCAGAAGTGCATACCGTCAGTGGTGAAAAACTTTCAACTATTGGCCAGATTCAAGTCACCTTGTTACTAAATGGAAGACAATTTCCGTGTCAATTTCATGTCATTAACAATATGGCTTATCACGCTGTTCTTGGAAGAGATTTTCTGCAGTCCAATGGTGCGATCATTAATTTTTCTGAAGGAACATTAAAGTTAGACAAGACCTACCCACTTAAGATGACCCTAGGAGAATATTCACGACCTGTAGCTCTCCTTACCGTCGTAAAGACCACCCCTGTTGCTAGAAGCAATGACGTCGATAAATTCCTAAGCAAGCTTCCCCATTATTATAGTGCTTTCCTACACAGGTGCAAGAAGGCCCGTCACTTCTTTCTCAAATTCCTCCTCATTCTTTTGCTAATGTCACCTGATGGACATGTCAACTCCCAAATCAAGCAAGAATCAACAACCGCCTTACTCGAAGGATGCAAATTAGTCAGTGATCCGGAGTTTACCAAGTCAAGTCTTTAAACAGTACATTTTGAAAGCAAGCCACCCAGTCGCGTCCAAGCAAATCACCACATCATTCTACAATTTCTTCTTACTCCAGTCCGCCTGAAAGACTCCAGCATCATTTTCACACAATCCCTCAAGCTACCAGAAAGAGCAACTGCAATTTATCAACTTCAAGAAAAAAGAAACATTCCACACCCATACATCAAGACGAAATACCCGTCAATTTGGTTTGACAGGCCGAAAAGCCGCTTGACGCAGTGAAATTTCCTCTCGTTACAGTTGCACTGAAGCGAACAACTTAGCTGCCGATGAATGTCAGACGAATCCTGATGTTAAGAAATGGACGTCCATGAGCGAGGGACGTGACAACTTTTCCATGTTAGAAGACTGGCTTTTCATTTAAATATTTCTTTCTATTTAATGCAACACACGCCACTTTGGAGGACTAAATTTCGGATACCGAGGAAAAAGAAGACACGAACAAAAATAGGAACTTTGAGAATTTCTACACGAGTTCTTAACTTCACCGGCACATCCGATCCGAAAACTTCACAAAGATTAACTTGAGCTATTACTGACAAGATTTGGTGACTGAGTGGAGTATACAAGTGTAGCCCAGAGGTTTTGCTTTTGTTTGTATCTGTATCTTGCTAAGCTTTTATCATTAAATTTGTACATGATCTTGTTATCATTTTTTATGCGTCTCCTCAATTCTGTGTATTCGCCCATTTAGCAAGCACGATAGATTGATGTCAGCATGAGCGAGTTTCAAAAAACCTTTGAAAATTTTAAGCTCGGGTGATGTTTCTTCTACCATTTTATGGCCACCGCAAAATGGGAACTTAAAAAAGCCTCTGACGGATTTATCTCGAAACATAATACACATGACTTACACGACCTTTATTTTCCTAAAGGTGTTTTGAATAGAAACGAGGGGGAAAACAATATTAATATCAATAAGCCATATGGTTTGAATTAATATAGTTATTGTACATTGAGATAAATCGCTTGGAAAGAGAGAGTTAGAACGCTGCGCAAAGAGGGGTACAATCAGTCAGAAATAGACCTTCTCTTTAATACAATAGTTCTACCTTATATTAAGTACGCATCATCTGTCTACGCCGCGTCCGAGTCCGATCTTACACCTGTACAATGTTTCTTAGACCGCTGTTTTAAAAAGAAATATAAGTCTAAGCCAGTAAGTGTTTATGATTTCTTAGAGAGGCAAGACCGTAAAATTTTCAGAAAAGTTTCTAATGCTAAAAGACATCCACTTTTATCTATTAAGCCTCGTGTTAAACCGTCCAGTTACAATCTTAGGAAAGAAACTTGTTTTAAACCAAAGATTAACACTATGCGTTTTAAAAAGTCTTTTATTAATGGTTGAGTTTTTAAATATGAATTAGCTATGTAATAAACTAGAATTTTTTTAGTTCTTACTTTTTACCTCTTTTAAAATTTCTTACACTGACTTGTAACAAAAGATATGTATTTTTGTCTTTTGATGAATAAAGACTTTATTACTTTATTATTTAATGTGATCAGAAGTAAATAAGGGCACGTAGTGCGTTTCGCTCAGTCCAGCTGGCACAAAAACTTCGGAGGAGTTATAAAGCGGCATAATTTTCTGCCATAAAGAAAAGTTAGTCACGGATGAGACAAAAGGCAAACTCGAGCGAATTTTTAACTCATATTAGTATCACGGTAAAAAAAATATGTTATCGATCGTTTCATCTATTTACATTGTTTAAAGCGAGTGCCGATGAAAGCAACATAGTTCACAAATGCAAATGATTTTATTCTTTTAAGCTAGAGAAAAATACCAAGAGAAAAATGTTAAAACTGAATATCTTTTATCTTGTGGAAAAAAAATAATGCGTTTAACATGAAAACGGTTTTTATGTAGACTGTAGACCGCAAATTAGGATCGTCTCAGTGTAATCAATGAGGCCCATGGATCGGGATCAATGGGCAGTTGGCTGTCTATTTTAGCAAACTTCTCGTTTTCATACGATAAAATATTTCTGTCTAGTGTTAGCAGAAGCATCCCAGTGAATTCGCCTTTTGGCGAGTCTAGTTAGTTCCATGTTTCACCTTCAGCTATACTGTATTTGGATTTTCTTCCTTCCTTAATTTCTTACTTACTTGAAAGTACATAAATAAGATAAAAGCTGAACGAAAAAAACAACTATCGTATCATACTTACCTCGTATATGATCACTTTAACAACTTCACCGTATTTACCGCATTCATCAACAACTTCAGGCTGTAATTCATCATCTACTTCACCAGGACCTACCATATTCTACAAGACAAAAGTTTGCAAGAACATAAGAGTTGTCTGCCTCATTTGAAGAGAGACTACTCTTGCACTCGTCTTCCTTATTTCCAAACGACACAGTACTTTTTTTTTATAAAATCCTTTGCTAAGAAAATAAGTAGAACATTTACCTTAGGCCGACTCTGAGTTAAGAAAGAGTAGTAGTAGCTACTTTTAGAGATTACAATGCAAGAGAGAAAGTCACCTTCCTTCCTTGTGTACAATACTTTACATAACGAATGTTGCGAGCCTTGCTCCTATTGTCTTGTTAACATTTTGATTCAACATTACTTAAGCATTATTGTGTACTTATCTCTTTATATTATTTATGATTGGACAACCATTTAAGGTACAGTAAGGATGAACTTCGCACAATAAACAGAAAAAAGATGTCCCCGACAAAAAAGACGTCATATTACACCCCTACCTCCCTATAACGGCCACCTCTCCACAACGGCGCCTTTCTTCTGTCACCAAGGTGCCCGTTGCGGAGAGGTTCAACTTTAGAACAGGATCAAATTTAGAACAGTGATGGAAGGAGAATTTCCTTATTTGTTGGACAAACCAATATCAAATCTTTGCTGACGTGCGTCCATTGTTTACATTTTTGCTGACTGGCATACGAGGTGAGCCATTTAGGGCATCGCCGTATATATGTATACAAATTACGTTCAGGCGTTGAAAGCATTGGTTAACTTGAGAAATTTGTGTAATTTTCAAGAAATTCTTTGCAAACACTATCTAAGGAAATAGCAGTCATAAAGAAAACTAGGAAATTCCGAGTTGTTAAAATAGAATTTCTCCCGCGATATTTGGTAGGTTAGGCTCATACTCTCAGAGACTGCTCATTTCAGTATATGCATTCAGAGATGTTATCTTTTTGATCAGACAGAGAACGATACCCGCGTGTTCATGAGAAAATAACTAATGAGAGCTGTACTTACTCTCAGGACAATGACTTTACTTGGATTTTTCATCACACTAGTCACTGGCTCTGCTTCTTTAACGGCAGCTTTTGATTCTGTAGATAAAAAATAAATAAATAAAAATACGAATCCAAACAGTCCAGTCTCAAAATGCACGAATGTACATGTAAAACCAAATCTTTATTCTCATCAATGCATCAGTTACGACGATCGAGCTACTTTTTAGAGATTGAGAATCAAGTTTTCCCTCTACCTGTTATATTTAAGTGTTTACTATATCTACAAAGAAACAAGTACTTTCAAGACAGCTTAACCCATATAAATCATTTTGAACATAACTTCTTATCTGCTCATTTCTTAAGAAACTGTCAACTTGAACCTGATTTTTGCTGCTTGCTGTGCAAGTGATTCTGAATCTCTCGGATTATTATGATACAAGTACACTAGTATTTTGGTATCTGAAGAGTCTTTTACTTAAGGTGGCCCGAACCTATTTATATGCGCGTTGGTTGTTTTTAAATCGCGTTTTTCGACTGGAAAGTTTTGACAGATTCCTGTGATTTTTGGGACCTTTTATAAAGAATGGTCGAACTTTAAGAAACTGTTATATATTTAATTGTAGGTATAAAAACGTTTGATATCGGCACATGTTTAAAATCACATTTTTACAAAACATGTCAACAACTTCGAAACCCCAATAAGCCTCAGAGTTCTCTAGTTTTATATCTGCAAGTTTGAAGTCAATCGTGAGCGTAGAACTCGCTGCACAAATAGAATGTGGGCAAGATGAACGAACATCTGTTTATCAAAGTTACTGTGTATTTGCCCTTATCTTTTCGAAAAAAAAATCTCAACAAAGCAAGATATAGCATCTACGGAGATCTCCTACCAGTTTTAGCACCGAAGGTTCCCGTCTTGAGGAGAAATAAAGCCACCAACTCCAGTACTTCAACGGATCCAGTACTTCAGCTGGAACGAAAACCCTTATATTAGGTAATTTATTCAAGCTTGTAAGATTTGCCATCACATTCGCACGGGCAGTTTGCCACTTAGGATAATGAAAAGAATAAGACGATTGTCATATTTTCTTCATCTTTATCCCCAAGCGGCAAACTTCCCGTGCGAATGTGAAGTCAAGTCTAAAAACCATGAATAAATTACCAAGTACAAGGGCTTTCAGTGCAGCTGAGAAATGGACGGTTAGAAGTACTGGAGTTGGTGGCTTCATTTGTCATAAAAATGGAAACCTGCGACGCTAAAAACTCTTAGGAGTTTTTCGTAGATACTATATTTTGCCTTGTTAAGATAGGTTTCGAAAAGGGAGGGACAAATACAAAGTAAGTTTGATGAATGAAAGTTTTTAAATCTTGTCCCGCATTCAGCATAAAGTTGTTCTTGTTGTATTGTAAACTGTATTCGCCGTAGGTTTCTGATCAGCCAGTTTCTTGCAACTGTGGCTTTGGGCAAGAATACTATTGCAGATAGGAGATAGTCTGTCGGCAGTTTTCCTCTATTTGTACGTCAACTTTCAGAACATCCTCGGAGACCCAGGGGCAGATAGTGGGGGCGAGGGAAAGTCTAAACAGGCGGGAAAATATGGCACAAAAGAAAAGTAAAGAACGGCCAGAAGAGCCCCTGGGGATAATGTCTTACCGGACCAGTTCCAAACGGTCGTCGCCGTTCTGGCTTCTGATTGGTGCCAGAAAACTTGTGTTGTCCCCAGGGGCTCTTCTGGCCGTTCTTTACTTTTCTTTTGTGCCATATTTTCCCGCCTGTTTAGACTTTCCCTCGACCCCACTATGTGCCCCTGGCTTTCCGAGGATGCTTTCACAAATGTGTTAGCGTTGCATTTTAAGGCTAAATTTGACAAGCTATTTGTGCAGCGAGTTCTACGGTCACGATTGACTTCAAACTTGCAGATACAAATCTAGAGAGCTCTGAGGCTTATTTGCTGAAGTTAGAGAAAAATCTGTCATAGGGTTTCGAAATTATTGACATTTTTTGTAAAAATGCGGTTTTAAACATATGCTGATATTTCAAACGTTTTAATACCTACAAGAAAGTAAATAACAGTTTCTCAAAGTTCGAGCATTCTTTATTAGGGATGCAAAAAATCATAGAAATCGTTTAAATCTTTCCTGCCGAAAAACGCGATTCCAAAACATAACCAACGCGCATATAAATAGGTTCGGACCACCTTAAGTAGTCAACGTTACCTTTGTCCTGGTTGATTATCTTTCCACCACGCTTGCTTGTTTTTTCCACTTGAAGACAAGTATTAATTCCCTGTTCTTGTTTTCCTAAACCTACGTAATAAATTAAAGTACGTTAACCATAAATAGACTTATCATGCAACACCAGTATAAATATAATTTGCCCATTACCTTGTCCGTCTTTCCAGCCATACTTTGCCATAATCTGAGATGCCACAGGACTAAAAAATAAAAGAAAAAAGAGAGAAAGGGAGAGGGAGAGGGAGAGAGAGAATACATGTCAACAGGATTAGTTACCAAGGAATAAAAGAAACAAGGTAAGTGGAAAACGTCTTTCTTATACACCACTGGGTCTCGTCCCTCGATCTGGAATTATGGGCACATACCACGAAAGACATTCAGTGACTTTCATTGGTTCCTGGCCTTTTCACCTTCCCACACCCCGCTTTCAATTTTTGGATATTTTCCCTTTCAATCAGCATTGTCTGGGTGAGTGAGGATATGACTAGCATGCAAGCAAGGCAGGTATCCTTTCTCAGCTTGTTCATTCCTTCTACAGTTGCAGTCACGCCGTAAGAGCTTTTCTTCTCAGCTGACTAGAAAGAAACTGCTAGCAGTCGCTGGAAAACGATAGAAATCATGAAAATAGTAGGATTTCAAAGCTCAAACGTTACCAGTAAGGTAAAGGGATATCTGTCTCAAACAGCAAAACTGCGGGAAGATCTGGTCGTACTAACAGAGAAATGAAAAAAAGCCACAAAGCCAAACGAAGAAGCAAGCTAATGGTAAATTTTGTCAAAATGTCTATATTCGATTCATTTATAATACTGTACTCGAGTGAAAATGAAGTTAAAACTGCTCAGTATTTATAAAATGTCACCTGAAAAGGTGTTTTAACTTAATTGCAGGTTTTCGACCGATACGTCCATTTCAATGAAAGGCGTCCTAAACGAAGTTGAACGATCACTGAAAACTAACCTTAAAATTGTTTCAGGGTATAACCATGTTTTGAGGATTTTGATACCATCTTCCATTTTTATTCAACTCACTCTTAAGCTCGTTGTCAGCGAAGACGAGCTGATCTTCACTTTGCTTATGGAAACAAGGATTTTTCAAGCCTGTAATCCCACAGGAACCTTAAAACGTTTAAGATTTTCCTTGTTTTCCAGCAACTCAGCCGCATTTTTATCATGCCTGTTTGTGTTTCGCCAAGCAGTTGACCCTCATTACTCATTAGCCTTGCCTTTACGCGAAAACAAGCACTCGTCCTAGGCCCCCCAGGAATAAACTTGCCTAGCCTCAAGAATTTTGTCCACGGTTGTAAAATTTCAACGTGTGAGTAAAACGCAAGGTAGTGATAATCAGTTCATACCTGGCAGCAAAACCAACATTTGGTTTCTCTCCACTTGAAACAGGCCACTGCTCAGAAGAAGGTGCTGGGGCTGAAAAAAGAAAACAATTAAAACAAAGTATTAGAATTTACAGACATAAAAGATCTAACTCTACATATTCCTTGGATATTGAAGGCAAAATACGAAAAATGGACAATGTTATTTACATTTGAATGTTAGAAAAAATAGTAAAAGAGAAAACAACACGAGTCCTCTTAGAAAGATGTTTAATTTCACAGCTTTTGTTTCCCATTTCATTTTAAAGTAAGATATCATTACAGTATCTTTGAAAAGACTCTTGCATTGATTATTGCGTCATGACACAGCTTTTCTTAACAGGAAGTATGGTCAGATGGCTGACATTGAGGAATTTTATATACCTGACTCCTCCATAAGAGCTGGGGGAGGTGCGATTGCTGCTCCACCACCATACCGAGAAGGACGGCTATGGCTGTCATCATCATCATCACCACCTCTCCGTCTTCCCCTTTCTCTGCCTCTGTCTCTACTGTTGTAATCACGATCACGATCTCTGTCTCGATCCCTGTCACGATCACGATCGCGATCACGATCTCTGTCACGGTCTCTTTCCCGTTCCCTTTCTCGATCCCGTTCCCGATCTAGGTCACGATCCCGATCTCTATGCCTAAATAAAATTGAAAGCAGAAAGTGTCAAGCTCCCTGAAAATGACCAATTTCCCTTAAATATTATTACTTCAATACAAAAGAACATCAAGTTTTGTGATTAGTCTCACTCATAGAGCGGTTTTCACTTGACTGTCGAAAGGTATTGGTTTTGGTTTTGGTTTTGGTGTTACTACGCCCTTTGGTTGGCTAGTGTATTTACTTTGGTTTTGGTTTTACGACAGTCAAGTGAAAACCGCTCTAACAGAGGATTATGCTTTATGTTTGGAGGAAGGAAACTTAAGATATACCTGGGAGGTACACTCTTACTTGTATCTTAACTTAGGAAGCGTTGTGAGCAAAATTATTTGCATACCTTTCTCTGTCATAATCACGATCTCTTGACCTCTCTCCTCTGTCTGATCTATCTGGCCTTTCACTTCTCTCATTTTCTTTGTCTTCGCGGAACTTTTGTTGCACAACTTCATATTCATTTGGCCTCATTGGATCATACTCATCAATAATGACAGCAAGTGAAGCCTCTGTTTCTATGAATGGTTCTGGCACCTTGTGTACATCAATGTCCTAACAGGAATCATCAAAAAACAGCTAAGGTTTTACAGATGTTTTCACTTCAATAACTTACTCCTCAGCGAAAGGCTTATGCACCTATCAATGTAAAGCCGGCGGAGTGGGAGGCAGGGCATTTTTCCCTGCCCACAGGCAAATCATCCCAGTCAAATGCACAAAAATTTCCCCACGCCGAGCTGCACATTGCTGCCATTGACTTAACTTTTACCTTCGTTCTGGTTTCTAATAAAATTAGCAAATGACATCTTTTATTGAAATGTGACAAGAGTATCAAAACATTTTATTCCCGTACAGAATTGTAGTCATTTCAAAACTTAAGAATTCATCTTATACTGAGCTCAATCTAAATTATAGATGGCCCTGTCCCATGAATACGTTCATATAAGAGTGCAGTGTTAGGTTCTCTTGCGAAAAGCACCAAATAAAAATTTATTCTTAAAGGTCTTGATTCCTGAGACACTCACTTCCGCATTATCTACAAACACGGTCACGAAAATTCAAAATCCAGAATCGTTAACGTTTTATCGCCCTAGGTTAAAGGTCTCCTGAAAATTAAACCTTCTCTGCACGTTTTCAGCTGAATTCAAATACAAGCAAGCCCGGAACACGATTAGCGACATAGGATGTCTGCAAAGTGCATGCAGGCTAGAAAAATATTTTCCACGCGTATAATAAAGTCTGTTAAGAATAACTAAATCACAAAAACATTATTTGTGATGCCTTGCTTATTATAATATTTACATAGCAGAATATCAACCCTGAATCATTTGTCCACAGTACGTTTTATGTTTAAAAATGGTACAATCAATACACTGTAGTAACTGGTAATAGCTATTTAGGCCAAGAGCATTACAGCATAGAGGAAATCTAAAGACTAAAAGACTTGGGTGAGCTTACTGGTATTTCTCTGCCATCAAGATCGGAATCCTACAAAATAGTAATCAAACTAAAACTTAGTTCATGCAAGTAATAAAAACATTTTTAACTTGACAATTTAAAAGTTATTAACTACAAATGGGATAATACATGTACATGTATACCTTGTAAATGCAATGGCATGCAAATTTGCATTAAATTCTTTCTCAAAGCGTTTCCCAGCCAATTAACATATTTTTATGTTTGTTTACATAACAACAGCAATCCAATACATTACGCTGTATTATTCTAAAAAGGTTCAGATTTTCAGGAAGTATAGAATTTTTCTCCAAAAACATGAAACGTAATGTAGAGGCAACTATCGGTAAATTGTAGCTTAGGAGATGCAATAAAATTATAAATAAACATTTTTTGCTGACCTTGACTGAAACCAGCTGAAATGGCGACGTTATCTTTAATGACACTCTTGAAAGAAGGATTCACAAATGACTTAAATCAGGCGGATTACAAAACTTCTTGATGCGATTAGCATGAAAAAACATCTCTCTAAAAGCTGTCTACGCCGACTACGCCATGCTCACTACAGCAACGCCTGTTTGAAATTAACTTGGAACCAGTCCGGTGCACTCAGCTAGGCGTTGACTCGCTCCTGGTCGATCTCAGCTATAGAGTCATGCACTTCACGTTCAGCACCTCCGAAATTCGCGCCATTGTCGCTTAGAATACGCACTGGGTTCCCTCGGCGGGCTCGGAAACGAAGTGGAGCCATGATAGCCACGAGTCAGTGCCAAGGCTATGAGTGACTTCAAGATGAAGAGAACGCACGTGTGAAGAGGCAAACATATTGTTTCTCCACTCTGTTGCGACCAACACAATCCCGGAACGGATCAGCATAGTTCAAGCCCACAGGCTGCAATGGTGTGCGTACTCCTCCAAGTCGCACTGCTTGCAAATTACTCATTTTCTGGGTCAACGGCCTGACATGGCGTCGATGATAGACTGGGATTTTGACAGTGCAATTCTTCTCTTCTGCGCGATCATGTAAGATCCAAAATTTTTCTCTCAGATAATTGAACACGTGTTCTACTCCCGCGTGGATCAGCTTTTGGTGATAGCCAGTTACGAGGAGGCGTGCAACATCGTGTTCGTGATCCAGGATAATCGGATGTTAGGCTTCCTAGGGTAATTTAGCCTGGTCAATTCGTCCCCCAAAACGCAGAACTCTATCCACTAACTGTGGGTTAAGGCTGGTGATACGACTTGTGCATGGAACAGGGCGTCCTTTGGACAACGATTCTACTTCGGCTGGAAGTTTTCTCTCTGCACCCACTTGATCCAGTATAATTCGGCTTCCCTTAGCTCGAGAACGGATTAAGTTCCTTGACTACGTTGCCCTTTGTTTTGCACGTTGTGGCAGAAGCGTTGAATGCAGGCTGTCTCGTAAGGAAGCTTGATCCAACTAGAATAAGCTCTTTAACTCAGCCTCGTCTGTTGGGGGCGTAGGTATCGGTACGTCATCAATCGGCTATTCTGATTTGTCGCACTTGAGGAATTCTGGACCCTTGATCCAGGTAGCGATATCTGCAATATTCAGATTTGTATGCACATAATGCCGTTGTGTTGGTTTACTTTCAGTCAGCAGCTTAGTCACTCGGTTGGCAACAAACGGACAAAAGTTTCTAGGCTCTCCACGAATCCACCAGAGCGCTGTGGTAGAGTATGTAAAAAACTTGAGGTCATAGATGCTTAAATTCAGCTACTCACAGACAACCCTTTGCAAGGCGCACAGCTAACTGACAACCTATTTACTCTCCTCAAAGTATGGAAATTGTCTTCGAGGGCATAAATCGCGTCTTAGCCATAAGTAGATGACACACAGTTTCTCTGTCAGTAGCTCGCAAGTAGGCAGCGGCTGCACAGGTGTCTTCTGAGGCATCAGAAAAGACAATGAACTGTCTAATCCATGTTTGACCTGGAAGACTGTAGATGTGAGGAACAGTAAACGATTTTAGGGGCCACTCAAGATTCATATCTACTGGCACCTGGTCATGCCAATCCAAACCGAGAGATCAAGTGCATTAATGCAAGCCCTAAGGGGTCTGACCGCGCATCCCACCTGAAACCCTACCGCGAACTAGAGGTAATTTCAGCCTGTTCGGCTTCCGGCACTGTAGCTAACACTTCTGGTGGCCATGAGAGCTGTAACATCCCTGTGCAAAGTCACTGCCTCTACCTGGCTTCTACAACACGTGTATTGATGAAAATGTTACGTCTGACTACGGCAGCTGCGGTAGGCGATTCTTCCTGGTTGTCTTCTAATCATAGCAAAGTTAGCTTCACAAGGCGATGACTTGTCTCCAAACACCACGCAGTTCATTTCATAGATGTCTAGCGGCCTGTTTGTCTTCACATCACGCACAGATATCAGTGGTACTTGCAATCTTCCGGTTTCAAGTGTACATGACAGAACATACACTGTATCAGAAACATCTCAGCAGAGTGCTTAGTCCTGTATCAAGGCAGTCAATAAGGCAAATTCTTTCATGCTTTGCTGCAGAATCAAATACCACTCGCGGCAGTGGTTTATGAAGCAAGATTACTGAGTGATGGGGGTAGAAACCAGTGCTCCGCGTCCACTGGACACTCCTTATTGCACAGTTTGCGAGCAAACCCTTTCTCAACGTACAGAAGTATGACTCATCATAACCTTTGGCCAACTTTGGGTCTCGTTTTAGACGACGTTTAATAGATGCCAGACGTTTAAGAGTTTTCTCATAGTTATCAGGCAACGGTGGTCGATTAGCTTTCCACAGGACTCCCAGTTCATAGCCCGAATCAACCCTGCGGCATGTCTCCTTAAGTATGTCCATCACCCTATGCTCACTGCGGATGTATACTGAGGCTGCCTCCAACCGAACACCAAATGTTCCCACCTCCTAAAACATGGGGAACTGGTTACTGATGTCATCCTCAGCCTCCATTACTTGCGCACGAAGAACACGTTTTCCTGGACCACGGGTAGATGAAATTGGTCCAACGATCACCCAACCGAGTGGCGTCAACTCAGCATATGGCTCAAAGTGATGTCCGTGTCTGACTTCTACCTGGACCATTAAGGCCGCAGCATCTAGACTGGGTAAAACATCCACTGTTTTCGTCACCAAAGGACTCCACCAGGACATCACGTAAATGCATCTCTTGACTTCTGACCACTCTACAGTTTCCAAAGGTGCGCGTATGTTCTTAATAGTCCAGGCACGGAGGGCACAAAAGGTAAGCTGACTCAGTGTGACTTGACAGTTGTTCTAACTCCTTCAACGACCTGCACGGTAAGATTCTGCTTGGGACCTTGAATACTCAGCTGGTTTGCAAGTGTCGTCTTATTGCTGGTGTCCAAGGAGAATAAGGCCAGAACAAAATCCTCCCAGAATCACTCAAAAAGGGGACTGTCACCTTTTTAAATGCAACTTTAACTGAATCCGTTTGGTTGCTCTGCGCTTTACGTCTAGCAAAACGAATTTCTCCATTCTCGGTGGGCAGTTCAATGCTCAGGGGCTCTTGTAGTTTCAACTCCTCTTTACAGTGGGTAGTAATGCCCTTTTTCACATGAATTTACTCCACATTTTGTGGATTGACGGCATTGACGGCACTGATGACAATCCTTGAGACAGCCAAAACAGACCTTTCTCGTTTTAACAATGTCTCATCGTTTCTCTATGTAGGCTGCAAGTAGAGTCGGACATGTGACCTCTGAATGATCGCTATCACACAGTGAACACTTTCTAGGCAACAAAGCTGGATTAGTTGTTGTGACCATCGACTGATACAGTATTTTGGGGGCTTCAACAACGACTGCACAGATCCTCTACTAAATCTATCCTTTGTGGGAATGGCAGGCTGCTCATTGTAACATTCACGCTTTCGCAGTGTTTTAGCTCATGACTCGAGCCACTCAGCTAAACCTTTGACATCCTCGGACACGTGCAGTGCTCACTTTCAGTTTGTCGCACCCATTCATCTTTCTCCGGCGTGGGTAGCTTGCGAACTAACTGCGTACAAAGGGGGACACTAAGTAGCTCGTGCTTGTAATAGGGGCGGTCCAAAGCGAACACAGCAGCTTATAAGGCATCAGTGAACCGTTCAAATCCCTCACAATCTTTTTCTTTAATCTGTGGCCAATTTGTAATGAGACGAAGGTGTGCATCTAGAACTTCACGGGGATCACCAAACATCTCTGCATTAATAGCTACACTGCCCTTTCATAATCGCCCGGTTCTAGCATTAAACAGGCAATTACATCTGACTATCACTAAGAAGGTTATTGAAGTAAGCTAACTTGATCGGACTTTACAGAGTTTTGTTTTGATCAATCATCGAACTGAAAATGCCCCAAAAGTACGGCCACTTATCAGGGTTTCCTTGAAAAGTCGGAATTTTCACCTCTTTGAGTCCACAACCCTTACTGTTCGAGAGCTCTCCTACCATGACTGAAGAACTTGCAGCCTCGTTTTCGCTAACAGATTGTGCTTGAAAAACCTGGAGTTCAACTTTACTTTTTCGTGCGAGATAATCCGAAACTTTGCCCATAATCTAACTGACATTATACTTTAAATCTTACAGCCAACTACCATCGCTTTCAATAGACTCTGGGTGAAGATCTTCTAGTCTTTTTTGTTAAGTCCCAGGCCTTAGTCTTTGCTTCTTCAATAGTTTTAGCAAACTGACATACCTTTGAAATGCTGCCATCGTGACAGCCCTCTTTGAACAACATTTCTCAACTTTACTCACCTCTGGCATTATCTAGTCTTCTGACTCTTATCTCGCTCTCTCCTTGTTTTGCCCAAACTATAATTCCCACTCAGACCCCAAATCAAGCTGCAGCTTTGGCTTGGCTTCAATTTCAACTCTACCCTTGACTCGCAGGAGGACCAACGATGTAATGGCGATGTTATCTTTAATGACACTCTTGACAGAAGGATTCACAAATGACTTAAGTCAAGCAGATTACAAAACTATTCGATGCGACTAGCATGAAAAAAACATCTCTCTAAAAACTGTCTACGCCATCCTGAAGCCAGCAACGCCCATTTGAAATTAACTTTGAACCTGCAGTCCTTCCGCGGCGTGAGGCTTAGACCTCACATGGCTTACATGCAAATTTTTAGCAAAAATGAGAAAAAAGCATGTCGATGAAAACTTGGAAAAAAAACTCCAAAACAACACAAGCACCACCACCACCAACAACAACAATGAAAATAACTATAATAATAGCCATTCATTAAAAATGGCTCTTCCACGCTATAAAATCAACGCAGCATCTCCATACTACTAAGGCTTTGTTTGTTTGTTTGTTTCCTGGTCTGGAAAACACTTGTTTGGTGGTGTTCATTACTTTCTATAGCATTAACATACATGTATGTTTCATTACATTCATAATTTAGCCCAACAAAGAAGTTATTCTTACCTCAAATTCTTCATTTTGCCTCTTATTCCCCAGAACTACTTGATTAACAGATTTTGCTTTCTGTATCATAAGTAAATAAGGACCAGTAAATATTTACAAGATTCATCAAAAAGCTTTGTGTAGCAATAAATTATTGAAACACGGTAAAAAACTCAAACGTCATTCTAATGAAGAAAATTGACTTTTACATGTACAGTAAATAACATAGAGTAAATTAATGAACATATTTTTTACTCACCGATGTAGAGACAGGCTTTGTTTGGGCAACTTTCTTTCTCTGTAGTTGAGTCTGTAAAAGCTTAAAACTTGATGACCAACCAGCTATAGATATTCAGTATAATAATCATCGGTAAGTATATGTACCTCCCCTCATGGCTTGTTCTTGCATACAGCAGAGAAGCCAACCTCACACTAACTTTCTCTATACTTTCCCTATACTACGTATATGAATATTCCAGGAGTAATAATTTTCACCTTGTAACAATTGCATTGCATCTAGTACGGGTAGATACATAGAGGATATTATTACATGGCCGCACAGAGATACGAAATTTCTCTTCTCGTGTTGAAAAATATTTCATGAGTGCGCAGCAAATGAGTGAAATATTTTGTCAACACAAGAAGAGAAATTTCGTATCTCCAAGTGGCCATGTAATGTTCTATTTATTATATAAACACCAATGAAATACCAAACCATTTCACTTAAATAGTTTTTTGGGTGTGAAAGTCGCAATTTATTATGTAGCCATAGCAACGGTGAAATTTTCACATGTGAAGATAACATGTTATTTTCACATGTGAAGATATCAAGTTTTCACGTGAAAGCTCACCTGGTATTTCATTGGTGTTTATGTAATAAAATAGAATAATTCATGCAAAGAGCATGCATATTGTATTCACATTTACATACAATTTGTTGCAAACAAGTGATACAAAAAAAGCAAGTGCATCAAACCATACAAAACCATGCATATTGAGTTTATTACAATACATACAGTGTACATGAACATTTATCATTCTATAAGTATAATTTTATTTTCAATCTCTCCAAAGCACTAACACTACACATTGTGCAATACGAAAGAGAATGACTTCGTTTTCTGAGAACATTAACATAAATAAAATTTATAATGAGGCTAAGGATTTGGGGCAACAAAAGAATAACAAGTAATCATAACTTTTTGCTCTAAAGCTGTTGGGAGAGGAAAATGAATAAGCTTGAGTAACATGGCCCATTTGAATAATCTGAGCACAGGACAAAATAGCTCATATTAAAAGTATTACTCAGGCTTACTTGTTTTTTCCCTTTCTCCTTTTGTTTTGCAAGCCCTATATTTTTTCAGAGACAATTTAATGAAATAATTATGCGTAGCCCAAGCTATTCTATGTCAATTTCTGAACGACGTCCTCTACTAAATTAGCATACATGTTAAAGTGATATATAATAACAGGGCTTCCGGAATTATAGTTTTTGGTGAATTATGCGCCAAAAATCCCAAATTATGCACAAACTATGCGAATTGTGCAACATTACACAATATTTTTAAGCGCAAATTTTATTAAGCTTGCAAATCAAGTAAGTTAAAGTAAGTAAGTAAGTCAACAAAAACAACTTACTGACTTATGCTGCCATGAGTTTTTCAGGGTGAGTGAGATAAAGTCACATGTTTATAATATTGAAATAAAACATATCAGTACAAATATGATGAGCAACAACAATTTATTTTTTTTTTGTATCGACTTTTATCGATTTCTATTGACATCAACATGTCAAGGGAACGGAGATTCTTTGTATAAGCATCGTGAGTGTAAAAAGTTGTACGGCACTGATAATGGCAATAAAGTTGAATAAAGTTGCATTAAAACCATCTTTCTTCAAAAAATTATTTCAGTGATCATCACAAACAGTTACAGAACACCGCACCGCAAGCACTGATCGACAGTGCGAATATCTGAACGGCTACGTGACTGTACAACATCGTTCTTTTGGAAAACCTAGCTTCTTGGATCCTCGATCCTCGATCCTCGAAACTGAGACTCGATCCTTGCATCTTGAGACTGGATCCTCGCATCTAAAAACTCGAAGCGTTCGACCTTCGAGACGTGAGGATAGAGTCTCGAGTTTTGAGCATCGAGTGTCAACTTACTTTTGAGCGGTACTGTAGCATTGCATCAAATGAAGAGTTCTGTATCACGATCATTCAGTTACTTCAGGTTTGGATTGCACTGGTGTTTTCATGGCTAATTGTCCAGGTCAATTTTAGGACATTTCTTGGTGAGAAAATTACTCACATTTATTACACTGAGTCCACGAAAACTTATTCAGGACAGACTGATCCTTTGATCCTTCACTGATGACGAGACTTGGGTCCTCAAATTGACAGCGCTAGCATAATTGTGGATAGTCAAGTAGTGACTTTGCAACACTGTATATTTGTTTAGCTTACAACTCGAAAGCGTACGTTAACATAAACAGAGCTGAAGAAATTTTGTATGTTTTGTTACCAATTACTTTATTGCGTTGATAAGCGTAGGGGTTCGGAAAGAGTGCAGCATGATGACGAGCAGCAAATGGTGTACATCTGCCGGTACTTTTGTGTTCGACCTCTAAATAATTTCAGTGATGAGTTGGGATGAGTTGTTTCATGTTGGAGTTTTTACTAGGAAGATAACAGAGGCTACTAAGAATAATAAATCCGCTTTGTTTTAGCTCTCTACTCAGCTCTAGTTACAGTGCAAAATAAAATATTGAAACATACATAGCTCTACATAATTTATTTATGATCGTTTTTTATCTTTCGATACTTCGATAAAAGTCGATTGAAATCGAACTCTAACACCAAAAGTCGATCAAAATCGATAATCACAAGAAATTTTGTGATCAACTTTTATCGATTTCCGATATTTGTCGATTAATAAGTATCGACTTTTATCTACAACGATCGATTTTTATCGACTATCGGAATTATCGACATGTTACGTCCTGTAAAAAGCCTATCGAAGTGATACACTATATAAGCTACATACAAGTAAATAATGTTATCAGCCTTACGCTTTTAAAGCGCAAATAAACCTATCCAGGGCAAGTCGTTTAATAAGTATGTTTTTGCATTAAATGCTATAAACCACTAGTCAGGGACTAATCATGTATGTTAAGTTTTAGGGCAAGCAAAAAATATATCGCTCGAAATATCGTTCAATAACTTTGACATTTTCACATTAACTTAGTAAACCACCGACCAACATTACCAAAATAGTGCGTAATATAACCTGCTTTATACAGATTCACTTACAGAGTTTGGTAATGTCCGTTCCGTCCGTGGAATTTGACTGCATTGGGACGCCATCGATATCGACTCCATCGTACAGCGACATCTTGAATGATTCGACTGGCTTGGTAACCGTACCTGTTATCTTGTAAAGATGGCGGCTTACTTGCCATGATTTTGAATGTTCTAAAAAATCCACGCCAGGAGTTTTTCGTCCGAAGCTGTAGAGCATCATTGGACTCTAAGAAACTTGAATCTTTTTCGCGTCATTTTGTTTGGAAGGAGAAAGGAGGAACAGTTGGAATGTCAATAATTTCTCTCGTCGTGGATTTGCAGTTGTGTAAAGTCAAACGGCTTTAATTTAGTTGTCATGGAAATTGTGTCTGAAGGAAGGTTTGTTTGATGTCGTTGTTACCTTTTGTCGTTGCTTTCCTCCATCGTTTTATAATGCGAGAGGTACTTGTAGTAGCGTAGGCTTTTTGACACAGTTGAGTTTCGAAGTTAACCTTAAGTACATTTGTCATGTCTTGCTCTTTAAATCGGCCAGTGTAAAAAGCAGACTGCGGACCAGGGGTAAAATGCAGACTGGGTGTAAAATGCAGACTGCAGACTGAGAGTAAAATGCAGGCTAGGGGTAAAATGCAGAATAAAGATCGACTGCAGACTTTTTAAACACTTGTGCTCCAAATAGGTGAATCATAGCCTCAGAGCAGGCGTTTTATTGTGTTGAATCATTTTTTGACTCGCCCCAACGCTCGGTCAGTCAAAAGTCCAAATCGATCGCACAGCAAAATACGCCTGCTTTGCAGGCTAGGTGAATTAGCTAGCTGGCATCAGTTACACACCTCGCTTCCTTGTCGAAGACATTGCACATTCGTGACATTCACCAGAAGTTTCAATGAACGTCGGAACAGCTTACGTCAGCCTACCTTGATTTGCAATACTTTCATAGAAGGTCATCCAAATTTCCGGCAGAACGTCTTTCTTTGTTGTTGGAATGATTTACTCCCATTTTATCGCCATAATTCTTTCTGTACAGTATTTTGGGCCAGCAGCTTTTATTTAAGCGTAAACATCGTGTTGTACCAATTCACTGTCACGTGTATCGAAAACTGGAGCGTGAGGTCTCTTGGACAATGGATAATAGAAAGTAAAGTCTATCTATTAATTATCCATGCTCGGACGGAAAAAAAAGGTTTAAGATTGCGATTATGTTTTTGGGTTGTCAACGAAGTTCCAGAGAAGAATGAAAGGATTTGTGAAAGCAGATATTTGTCGTCAAATAATTGTTTGTTTACATGTCTTTTGTGGGATTTTATTTGCCCTTAAACCCTTCTGCGACTACAGTTCATGCTCGGTCTGCATTTTACCCCAGCCTGCGTTTTGCTCTCAGTCTGTAGTCTGCATTTTACACTCAGTCTGCATTTTACTCCTGGTCCGCAGTCTGCAGTCCACAGTCCGCAGTGTGCGTTTTACACTGACTGCTCTTTAAATATGGGTAATCATTAAGCTCTTGGGTAAGTCTGTTTTCGCCATGCGATTGGTCAATTTGCGGTCCGTAACTTGCTATACGGACCAAACTGTTCCAAAGTAAATACTCATTTTGCAGCTCTAAATCTCTTTATATCGAAAAAAGGGTTTAAAGAAGGTATACATGCAAGACGTCTGTCAACCTTGAGGACTTGGATGTAACAAATAATTGTGATAAAAAACTGTGCACCGCAAATAATCAAATGCACTCCTCCAAGTTGCAACCATTTTAGTCGCCGTGGGGCCTAAAATTTTGGACCTGGCGACTTGATTTGGAAAATAGTCGCCAAGTTGGCATCTGTGAAGAATAGGTTCGTAAAGAAACAAAAATGGTAATCACTTCCACTGAAATATGAAGAACATTATCTAGCTGATTTGATCACTACTACTTTTTTACTTTTCCGTTGAAAAACATTCTAAATTGAGAAGACTATGAGAACTTAAAAAGTCTCAGAGAGTCAGAGCTAAGTGTTTCGAAACAAACGTCAATGAAACTTGCCTTGCACGCGACATTTTAACCATTTGACGCGTGACAATTAGCATGCAAAGGAAATGCCTTGCTTTTCGACAGTGTCAATTAATTTTCTTCGATATCTTAAGAATGCTTGTTCGGCCAAGCTTGGTGGTTTTTTAACTGGGCTATATATTTTAAATATTTTGGAATCAATAAGCAATCTAATACCACGAAGAGGGAAAGCTAAATTGCTGCAAAGTCAACATAGAAAATTGTGTTATTGTGTAAAACCGTAACATGAGTTGAATCGTGGTTTTATAAATAAAAACGATAATTGTATGCGAAACTAAACATTGAAAAAACTGACAGCTTATAGTTGTTGCAAAAAATTTATTTGTTAAACACCTGTAGCGATGAATAAGGAAAAAGAAAATTTATTATTTCCTAAGTGGCATTTTTTGTCTGGGTTCCTTTCAATGGATTGGGAAAAAATGTTTTCCTAGTACAACTTGTTGCAAAATTTTCACGTGTGTGATGTTATCTCTGTATAAAGCAATGATTTGATTTATAAGACTTGTTGATCTTCCAACACTCTCCTGCCTTTGTGAGGCTTTTGCAATGTCTAGCGGAATTAAAAACGATCCTTAAAATCCCCAAAAATATTTGATAGTTGGGGAAACAATTCCATCATCAACAAAAGTCGCGGAAGAAATGTGAAACAAATAATTATCAGAAAAAAAATAGATCTCCTTTCAAGTTGTGACTGGGAAGCTTTGAATACATTAACAGACGATGAGTTAAGTTCTGCTCTCATACCAACTGAGGATTATACAGAAGGATTGAAGGCCCTAATTATTGGAAATGGTAATTGTCTTTACAATTCTGCTTCAGTAGTGATTCAAGAAGATGAATCTGCAAACCTTATTCTCAAACTATCAGTAAATAATGCCTTGTGCAATACATGTAAATGAGAAATTTATAAACAGTCCTGCATTTTAAGTTAAACTTGCTAACTGCTTTTGTTAATGACAATTTTTGATATATTAACTTATTAATATAATTTGGTGACTAAACCCAAAGAGTTGGTTGCCAAATGGCCACTGAACAAAAATTTTAACTTGGAGGGTTGAAATGGTTTTAAATTTTTGCAAAATATCTGTTGAAAAGCTATGAAAAAACCAGATGTCTTGAGGGTGTTCCCTCTTCAGTGATTTAAAAGCAAGTGATGCACATGCAATGTAATATGGACATCAAACTTGGCTAATAAGAGATACTTTTTGTTTTCTCAGCTTGGAGTCTATAAGTAGGCCAGCAAGTTGTGATAATGTTAAAGCCAACAGAGATCCAAGGCTGTCCCAGGTATGTACTTGATCTTGAGAATATATCTGGCTAGGTAACAGATTGACAACAGTTTTTCATGGTCTCCATCATACATAATTATTACATGTATTTTTTAATGTTTTTAAAAAATTGCTTAAAATGTTTTTAAGAAAATTTTTTTGTTGCTTTTTTTATAGCTAAATGTTACAAAAAATTGCTTCTTTTTAATATACTCTTATTCACCATAAACGTGATGTCAAAATAATTAAAACTCAAGTGGAACCACAAGCTGCAGTTGAGTGGTTTCACTGCAAATTTTGGACATTTTGATGTCATTCCTATGGTCCATAAGATCAGAGTAGACCAACAAGGAAACTTATTGCTAATTGGTTTGTTTTAAACACGAACATGGAAAATCATCTGCACAAGAAAGCGAAAAACAAATTGCAGCATTGTCTGATCATTTCTGTGGTGTGTAGTCTTATGGTCCATAGCTCTCAACCAATCAGTACACGAGAAATGGCTCAGTTATTGTTGCACTTTTGTTTTTGACAAGAGCGTCCAAGACCACAGGTAGCAAAAGCTGGGAATTTTCTAGCTTAGTTTGAGTACATTACCACTGGCCTCAACAAATCTTGGATTATTTGGACCAGATTGGATCAACCCCTTTATCTCACTTAATGACAAAAGGCTAGGTTAGAGATGGGAATGCAAGGGTTGAACCAATCTGGTCCAATTGAGGTTTGATCAATAGATCTTACTAGAAACCTTCAAGATCATAGTATTAGATTTTTACAAGATCTTTCAGATTCTTAGGATGGATTTCCACTGTCGCGTAATTTTTACATGCATACGCACATAAATTTTACATGGTAGACAAAAATTAATAGAGGCAATGTACACTGTATGAAAGGTGGCACATAGTGTAAAAGTTGAACCTCGCTCAACTTCATTTATGTCCCACCTTCCACACATTAATGCCTCTATTTTATTTAATATGTACAGTATGTCAAATTTAACTTGTTCGCCGACGTAAAAATAATTATTATGTGCCAGTGGAAATCCACCTTGCTGTAGATCTTACAAGGTTCTTAAAAAAATACAAGATCTTGCAAAATTCTGGTAAGATCTTATTAAAAACTTACAAAATGTTTCAAGATTGTTGTCAAAGTCTTACATTACAAGTTCGTTCAAAATTCTTATAAAGATCTTTCAAGATCTTGTATTTAAGATTCTTATAAAGATCTTACAAGATCTTGTATTTCAGATTCTTACATGTACATTGATGTTACGAGATCTTGTAAGATTCTAAATAAGATTTTACAGTCATGGCCCATGGTAAATAATAACCAAACTTATAAATATTATTTGAACGGCTGAGATTTGATTTTGTTTTGCAAGCAAGCTGTGAAATCAAGAAAAACCTTTTGAATTTCCCCATCCTATTAATTTTTGGGATATGACCAACATCACCAGGGTCATCTATGAGAGTGGTCACAAGGAGAGAATCAACATTAACTGACTTATTTTAACATGGTAAAGGCTATTCAAATAGCAAAAAGGTAAAAGATACATCTAAATAATTATGCCACTTATTTTTGGCTGCTGTTCTTTAAATTTTATGTGATACAAAAGCTGAAAAATTAATTAAACATGGTATACTTTAAACAAAGAGCCTTTCAAACTGAAGGTGTCAGATAAAGTCAGACAAATGTTCAGATGCTGTATAAACATATAAACTTAACACTCAGGATGAATAATGAATTCTTACTTTAAACTTTGCTTACAAACTTCAGATGTAAAACTGCAATACAGTGGATGCACTGGTTTACATGTATAAAATGGCTTTAATTAAGTTAGGTATTTCTGTTTTTCTGTTATTAGAAACATGGTCAAACAATGGGATTCCTTGAAGAGCTTCCACCTGAAGGTAATACATGCCCTCAAAACTTGTTAAACAGTAAAAGGACCTTTTAAAACTCTTTGCTGATAGTCAGTGAGTAGAGGAAAAACAGCATTTTAAGCTATTCCCCTTTTTTGGACTGGTTTAATCAGCATGAGAATGGCTAAAAATGAGTTTAGCAACAAAAAGGGCAAATTTTCGGACTAATCGGGTGTAATTCATTCTTGTCCCCAGGGCCTGTCTTTTCTTGGTCACGTGGTCTTGTTACAATTAAAGCCGAGTGGCTCTGGGGATGAGAATGGTTGTAATTAAACAGCTTTTTAAATTTTCACGCATGTGCATAAGTCAAAATGGAACTTGTTTTTTTTTTTGTGAAACTACTTTGATCTTCATCCTTTCTCGCTGTCTGTTTTCCTTTGCCTTCTATGCGGTTTTGTTGTCCACTTTATCTGTAATAGTACTCAGTTTTAATGGTCAGGGACAACTTTTTCATTTATCTTGTGCAAGGGTGAGAGATTATTATTTGGGCGTCGCCCAGATCGTTTGTTTTGATTCAAAGTTGAAATAGGCACGCAATACGTGCGAACTTAAACTAGCCAAGCGATGCGCATGTCTGCCACGCAAACGACTCATGCAAGGTAAAACGTATCCTGGCAAAATGCTTTTCTAGCATAGTACTTGATCCCACTTTTACGACTTCAAAAACCTTGCAACACAATTCCCAACAGTGCGGGAACTAAGACATTAAAAGCGATGAACAAAATAATTTTCAATTTGGAGGAAAAGATAAACTTAATCTGAAGCCAGTTACGGTATTTTTTGTCGGACCTAAAAGCGGCCGTTTTTTTCTCTCAGAAATTTGGAAGTATTAAATTCAGGAATCAAATCCGTCAACAATATTTGGAATTTAAGACGGGTTTGGAATTGGATCACACCTAAGATTTTCGTGCTTAGTGTCAGGTGTTTACATTTGTGAGAAATGACATTTCAAATATCATATTACAAGAAACATGCTCGGTTTTTTTACTTACGATGATTCGTTTAGGTAGTTTAACTTTTTTGCTATTTTTATCCATTCGTAATTGCTTTATATGTTGTTTGAGTTTTACAAGTAATGAATATTTTGTAATCGTTGGTAGTATGAAATATTAAAAATCACACTCTGGAATTGACGCGTTTGGCTTATAGCCAAGAGTTCGGCAATGTTTTTGCCCTCAGTTGTCGAATCTTGAGAGCCAAAGAAGATGTCATGCAATGATGCAAATTTCTGTGTTCGTGCATGAGATAAATAGGGATTATTTCAATGAGGGGAATAACTTGCGATGAGTGGCCAAATATAAAGTATTTCGGCAGTTTGATAATTTTATTAGAGCCAATTGATGTTAGCCTATTAATCTTAACGTCGAATTATGTGTAATTTCTTTGCATATGTTCGGAAAGGAGGTGATTTCTTTTAAATCTTATTGAGCAAAATAATCTCGTAAACAAGTTGCATTCTTCCACGTTCAAACCGCAAAAGGGGTAAAGCCCAACATCTTCACATGCAAACTGCGTGCATGACAGTTATTTTTAAAACCCTTGGGTTAGCCAGATTAACAGTGGCAAATTCCAAGGCTTTCACTTGCAAACTGCGTGACAATAAAACTCACAGTAAGGGCCTGATTAGTGATTACATGACCCGCGCTGGCTAGCTCTGCCGAGGTTCCGCCATTGTTTTATAGAGATTGTAAGCCGGGTGCATGAGTAGTGTGTACACCCGCTGTCCTGTTTCTCGCTTGGTTCATTTGCCAGACTGCCAGACAAGCGTGATTACTTGGAAAATTTCCAGCCGGGATCCCAGCATCGCAATAGTGGGATCCCAAGTGGGCTGGCTCTGTTGTCATGTAATAGCAAAGTTGATTTTTGTTGCGCTCACCTAAGGGACCGAGATCTCTGCAAAGCGAGCCAGCCCGGCTCATGTTATCGGGCCCTTAGTTTTATTGCCAGTTTTTACGCCCTCCCGGCCTTGACTTCACCGATTGTTCAAAGCCGTCCGAACCCACACACCCAAAATTTCAGCCCCCCAAACTTCTCCATATTAAATGAACTTCCCATATCCAAGTTCTCTCCATACAAATATTATCAAAAATAGCTGAAAGAAAATCCTAAACAAGAAGCCTAACAACATTTGAAATAATTACAAGACTGTTTTCGACTATTGATAAAATCTTTTACAACCACAACTTCATTTTAACAGACTGTAACTATACTATCCCTTCATAACCAAATAAGCACTCCAACAACTACCTCGCTGCAACGCCTAAAATCACTTTACCTTCCAAAAAATATTTTTTGTTACTTCATATCAAATTCTATGAGAAATCAGTTTCACTGATTAACAAACTACAGCCATTATCTTACCAATCCAAGTCCAATATAACTCGACGCCTCCCACTTCACTAATTTCAACCAAGTCCTAAAGTATACAACGCACTCAACGCTACTGCACTACTCACACATCCCTGATATACCCAAAAACATCGCGTACGCCTAGCACAACGACGCCCAAATAAACGCTCCCACAGCGTCTTGTGTTTCTTGCCATACCAAAATGACCTGATTCAGTCAAGAAAAGGGCAATAAAACATGTAAAGATGAGGATCAATTTCGTTTAAAATCTTGTTCCACTACCTGCCTGCACTTTCTTTCATCTAAAATCCTACGATCCTACAAATGTAAAAGCTTTCCCAAAAACTTTTCCCATTGAAATAAAGCCTAGAATATTATGCTTGGCAAAAGAGAATAAAAAGGGCAAGAAAGGGGAAAGTGAAAGGTCTAGAATTTTGCTTTCTGTGCATGCCTGAACTTCGGAAACTGACATAATATTTTGCATCTGGAGCAATCGGCTGCAGAGTGCGCAAACTGTAAATGGCTTGTTGATTTTATGCTCTGTATAGCTAACTGTGACCAGAAAATGGGTTGACTTGCTTCAAAACGCCTTTTTTGGCAAAATTTCTAGGAAAAATAGGTTGAGCAGGTATGCAATAGTTATACGCCCTATTATGCAAAAGCTCGATCCCCACCATGCTCAGATCTAAATGGGAGGAGGAAATAGTACGCAACCCAGGTGAACACCACGAGGCCTATCCTACATTCAGCGAATTCTCAGCGATGATCCAGGACGAAGCGAGAAAGAGAAATCACCCTTACGTTTCGGCGGGAGTCAGTACAGCAAATGGCATGCACAAAGTCGTCATTGCGAGGAGAATCGAAAGAAGCCCCCGTTCCAACCTGGTTTCGAGGTCAAGCAGCCGCTGAAGACCAATACAGGACACGATAGCGGCAAAACGCCAGAAAAGAAAACCCCAGAACCCCAGACATAGAGGCGCTGTTTATTTCAAAACGAACTGGCCACGAGCTTACAGAGTGCAAGGCCTTTAACAAAATGATGGTCAAGAAGAGAGAACAGTGGGTTAAGGAGGAAAGATTATGCTTCCGCTTTTTCTCGCCAAACCACATCGCCAGCGAGTGCAGAGAAAAAGTGAAGTGCGGTATCTGTAGCACCACAAGACACCCTGAGCTCCTCCAAGCACTGAAGAAAAGAAGCAGAGGAGCAAAGAAAGGGAGCCGGCCAACGGTGGTTCAGAAGTTATCAGTTTGAAATGCACATCGATAGGCAAAGGTCACCCGGGTGGACCTTCTTGTAGCAAGATAGTGCTGGTGGATGTTTAGATCGCCCCTACGAAGTTCATCGGGTGTACGCTATTTTGGATGACCAAAGTAACGCTTCGATTATTAGCACTGAGCTAGCAGACAGGCTAAACGCTGAAGGTCCCGCATCCAAGTACCACCTTTCTACCTGCGGAGGCACCAAGGTGGTCAAATATGGCCGGAGAGTCGCAGGAGTCGTAATACGGTCCATCCACGGGAAAACCTCAGTATTGCCCCCACTTATAGAGTACGATGGCATTCCCCAAGATATGAAAGAAACACCGACTCCGGAAATCACGAGGGAGCATCGTCATGTAGGAAGTATTGCCGAAGAGTTTACCCCTTTCGATGAGGAGGCGAAGATCCCTCTTCTTATCGGCAGAGACACCCCCAGAATTATTAAAAGTAAGAGCATTTAAGAACAGCCCAAAAGGAGCACCATGGGCTCAGAAGTTAGCCTTGGAGTGACGATATCAGGCCAGACCTGTTTACACCTAAAAGATAGATCTATCCATGTACAAACCAAGAGAACCTGTGTGGCGACAAACTATTCAAGGACGTGGATGTATATTCTGGTGCCAATCTGGTTTGCTTTAATGTCCCAACACATCCAACATGTAACGCAAGAGGTGCAAGAGAAGAGTCAAGATAGTCGCATGTCCAAATACACTTCACTTCCGAGAAAGTTTCACCATGGTCGATGACGTCGAAAACACAGCAGTTGTCTATTAAGTGACTCAACAACAACGACCTCAATTGAAGATCGAAGATTCTTAGAGATTATGGAAAAGAGGATTCATTAGAACGAGCTAGGAAACTGGGAAATACCATAACCATTTCGCCCAAGTAAAGTATTCATGCCAATTCATGCCAATACCCAATCAAATGTCTAAACGGACTGCTAAGAACCTTTAAACGCAAACCTCAAATGGAAAAGGACTACATCGAATTCTTGGAAAACATACTAAAAAAAGACCAGGCACACGCAGGCATACTTTTTATTTATTTCTGAATTGATTTAGTACGCGTGTCAGCGACGACCAGAAATGCCTCTCCAGCAGCAGTCTATCCGCGTGTATAAATACACGAAAATTCAAGGGCCTCGATTCCAGAGAAATAACATCATTGCCAGATCTCAAAAAAGTGATTTACATGGCACGTCATTTCAATCATCGCCGAAAATAAATGGCATGCTCATCACAAGACTCATTTGCATACAGTGAAAGTTTACAACACCCGACCATCGCAATTTTGCTAATTAAGATTCTTATTTTTTTTCGACCACTCAGTAGTGTTCACTTGTCCCAAAGTAATCAACGCTTTCAAGCGATAGAATTCGTGGACTGACACGTTTCGGAAAAGCTCTAAATTTAATCTTTCCTAAGCTTTCTTCGCAAAACATGCGTGGCTTCGATCATGCAACGATTCTTAGTTTCAGTTTCGACGGTCTCCGCAAGGAACGCCTGGCACAATGAGCTGCCTTTTGTGACCCAAAATTCGACCAAAAATTCCGGGGGGTACTTCCAGAAAAATTGGGTGGGGGTGTGTTGCACGCTTCAAGAAGCCCTTACCATATTTCAGACCAAAATCTGTGATTTTCCGTACCCAATTTCAGACCTGATCCAAAATTTGATACCCTATTTCATACATGAAGCCCTGGAGCCCGGCGCGTTACCGGAGAGCGTGACAAGCTGTTAAGGCACGTACACGGTAGTTGGAGTAAACATTAAAAGGGAAAAAGTCTGATCGCCAAATGATGAAGAAGTAGCTAATTCTTCTAACAAACATACCCAATTCAAGACTAGAGTGCACAAACTATACCCTACCTTTGGCGCGGCACATACCTACATAGCCTAGATAAGGGACTACCCCCCGGGGCGAAAAACGCGTTGCAGATATGAGTCTCGCTGCTTACGCAAACGAGACTAATAAAGTGAAAACTTGGGAAGGCAAGGTTCAGTTGTCTTCAGATCAAATCTATGTTCGGTCTCCATTATATAATCGAAATGTAAAGGGCCGTTAGTGGGGTGGCGAATGTTGTTAATAAGAGTCGGACCAATACTTGAAAAGTAGTTACTGAAAACAGAAGACAGCTCACATGGATCGCGAATAGAATTATTGTCAAGTTTTATCTCTTTTACCCAAAAGCTATGAGTTTTCCTTGATGTTAATTCATTACTGATTTGCCACGTCTTGTGTGGATCACGTTCATTGTCTTGAAGGGCATGTTTATAGTATTGTTCCTTGGCCTGTTTTATTTCATTATTAACAGCGTTGCGACATTTCTTGAATTTCAACCAGTCATTAGCATTTCCGAACGGACGGCTTTGAGCTTAAGCATGTTACGGGCATGCATTCTTTTTTTCAAATGAGGTGTGATGATGATGATGATGATACCTTTATTAAAGTGTCAAGACTGTAATAGCGGTGTATTAGCCTGCGTAGCAGGCGTCGAAAGGGGTAGGGGGTAGGGGATAGGGAGGAAGGGAAAAAGGGGAGGGGGATTGGGGAGAGGGGGGGGGGACGCCTGCTCTAAGAACCCCCTTTTGCTCATATCTGCGGACGCTGGCGTCCGCAAATTCCTGATTGGCTGAGCCGTAATGAGTAACATATTGAAATGCGCGTTTCACAAATCAACAAACAGTCAAGATGGCAGCGGTAGATGTGGATGTCGTAGAGAGTGCTTTGAGAGATGTGAATTTATCTAGCGGTAGGGAAACTGTTTTAAAACCACAGCAAGAATCAGCAGTAAGGGTTCTTTTAGCCGACAGAGAAGTTCTGGCGGTTTTGCGGACCGGATACGGCAAGAGTTTAATTTACCAAATGTTTGTACGCGCGAAGAACTACGAGCTAAATGGTAATGCGGCGATTCTCGTCATTTCGCCACTGAAAAGTATCATCGAAGGCCAGTTGCAGGAGATGGAATTGTTGGGCTACCCAGGGAAAGATTTAGCCAATTTATCGAACGATGACATTCGCCGATGTAACTTAGCAATAAAAGAGGGTGGTTTTACCTCATGCCAAAATGCTGCTTATTCCAATAAAGTTGTTTTTATCTGCTGGGTAGATTATGGTCTGGAAGGTTCTGCATTTATACTGAGCAAATGTTATTTTAGCTGCATGTTTCACACTGAGAGGTCATGACATACATATCGATTGGCTGTAGTTATTGTTTTCTGGTCGGCAGGATTTGCCCCGGATTTGCCCTCTGATACAAGCGCAATTTCTTTGTCCTCTTTTGAAGCGTAAAGCTTTTTTTATTACGGCTGAATAAGGGTTCCAATTTTCTCCAAAGTGCCTTCTGGATCTGAATAACTAAGCGAATTTCTTTAGTCCGTGAGTGTAATGTTTTTCTGCAACGGCGAGTGTAGCGACACTTGATTGACAGTAAGCGTAATCGGATTACTAGAAAATTGGTAGGCGTTATGTAAAAACATAGGCTCTTAGAGCAGGCGCTCCCTTCCCTTTTCCCTTTCTCCCTTCCCCCTCCCCCTCCCTCTCCCCTTTTTGCGCCTGCCACGCAGGCTACGGTGTATAACCACTAAGTGGGGACACTAAAATAAATTTAAAAAGAATAAATCAATTAATAGATTAATTAAAATTAAGAAAAACTATGTACAGTATAAGCAAGTGAGAAATTCGAGAGAACTATAAACAATATGTACAAATGTATCATTATCTTATAAAAAATAAGAAATTAAAGATTAAGAAGTGCAAAGAGAGCAGTTAGAGCAGTTATTGTCACCTAATAGCATGCTAAGATCCACTTTTCTGATGTTATATTTGAAGGAGGACAACGTGGAAGCTTTTTTAACGTTACTAGTAACAGAACTCCATACCTTTGGGCCCATATACCTGAGCGAGTGCTTTCCAAAGGAGACTGTGTTGAATCTGGGTATAGTGAAGTCATGATAGGCAGTTCATACTTAACTGCAGATTGTTCAAAGAGAGTGCAAATTTATGTTGGGCACATGTTGTTTTTAACTTTATACACGAGAATAGCTATGTCCTGTAGTCGCCGGTTGTGTAGAGTAGATAGCCCGGCCATAGACAGTAATTGACCGTAGGACGAATGTTTATCACAATATATAGCCCTAAGTGCTCTTTCCTGGATACGCTCTAGTCGTCTAGAATCACTAGCACGGCAAAAATGCCATATAAGATGACAGTAGGTTAAATACGGGAGAACAGCTGCCTTATATAACTGTAACTTAGTAATCCAAGGTGATTTCATCGCAGGAACGCGCTTGGAACGTAGCGGGGCGTGCTTATCGACACATTGAGAGAAAAGACTTTTCCAAGCTTTCCACATATCATTAGGATCTTCATAGTTGTTTACACTGTCCCAGTTTTGCTGGGAAATATCGAAATGAAAACTAGCAGAATTAAAATTTTTAAATTTCCTATAAGTTACTGTCGAATGACCTTTAAAGGAGGATGGATCAATCTAGACTATGGTCGCTTAGGTTTACATGAGATACACTCGAACAAACAACTCTGTCCAAGTAATTTGTAAAGATTACATCAGTCAAAGTAGAGGAAGCACTTTTCACTCCAGTTGGGGTGTTTATAAGTTGATGGAGACCGTAGACATCCGATAAATTAGATAATAACACAGTATTGTTATCGGGTTGAGACGAAGCAAAGTTACAGTTGAAATCACCCATTAAATCAAATTCAGCATTTTCAGAATCAAGTTTACCGATCAAAGTTTCAAGATAAGAGAAAATTTCTGTTGATGAACTAGGAGGTTTACACCAGGTCGCGATGAGAAAAGGCTTGGTTCTAGGTTTACGAATTTCAATACAAAGGTTTTCCAGGGATTGAATACTTAGGTCGGGGCGCAAAGAATAATTCATACTAGAGCGAACATAGAAACAACCGCCCCCACCAAGCCTACCATCATGTTCTCGATCACGCGAATGATCTCGTAACCGGAAATGTAAACCTCGTTACCACTAACCGATTCATCAAACCTTGTTTCATTAATCTACATTGATTCGAGGGTCGTCTTGGGCTACATTTGCAACGAAACCCGACGATTTCACACCTACGTGCCAAATCAGGTGCAAGCCATACGAAAGGTCGCTTCCCCCGAAAAATGGAGATAAGTTGAAAGTTCTAACAATCCTGCTGACCTGGCCACGCGTGGTCTACACCTCAAGGAGCTTGCAGAGTCAACCTGGCTTAACAGTCCCGAGTTCCTGCGCAATGCCTCACAAGTCACGTCACCCAGCGCGGAACAAGTGATCCGGCCTAAGTACCGACGACCACAAGTTGAGAAAGGAGTTGAAGCCTCTTAGAACAGGTGCCACGTCAGCGAAGTCCCCCACCCTAGGGACGGAGAGATTTGTGAGATACTTATCCTGGTTCTCCCTGAGACGCACCATTGCCATCCTGATAGTCAAGGCAAGATCGCTGAACGGACCAAACCTCGGTAGTGGCTTGACAACACAGTTTAATCCTTGTCATCACCCATCCCCTGATGTGATCACCAAGGCTGCGGAGGCGATCATCAAAGCAGTCCAGAGGGAAGCCTTTAAAGAGGAGTTTGACGCTATCGTTCAAAGGACGAATAACAACGAGAGCCGTGATGGAGCCAGAGCAAGGAAAAGGTCCCAGAAGAAATCGAATCTCTACCAGCTAGACCCCTACGACGACAGCATGGGAATAATTAGAGTGGGTGGTCGTCTTCGTCAGGCCAACCTGAGTTTTAACTTGCCTAGTCGCTGTACGATGTTTTCCCAGTCCCTCGCGGTCAATTCACTTCGGTGACGTATTGGAGGCGAGCGGGCGGGAAATGCCAAGGCCAAAATAGAATGCGCATGCGTGCGTTGCTTTTTGAAATTCAAGATGTTGTCAATGTTGCGGACAGTGGAAAATTTTTTTAAAAAAAATCCTTGTGGATATTTGCGGAATCGACTCTTGCCGACCGTCTTTGAAAAGTCATTAGAATGTCATTCATAGTCCTGTGGAGATTGATTCTGCTCCTTCAATCTCATCATTCCAACTGAGCTATCGGCGTTTACAGCTCTTAACCCATTGAAAGGACCGCGAATATTCAAAGTAAAACTGAATACTTTAGCGACCCTCTGTGTAGTAAACTTAGAGCGCAAATCTTGAATAATCAGAAAAAACATACTTTCAAATTCATTAGCTACGTATCGAAAAGTGCCCAAAAACTGAACCTAACGATAAAAATCCTATAAAATTCGCGGACATTAACTGAAGTGGTGCGTGTAATGTGAGAAGCATTATATTCTGCTTGGTTGTTTTTTCAGCTAATGTTATCAATAAAAGAACACACAACAGGCAGACAAATTATTTCTCGAATTTTTTTTTAAAACCCCATAAATTAATCCTTAAAAGCAATTCGGGTAACACAAACTTGGCTCGTGCATCCGTTCACGCAAGTAAAATCGGCTGAGTACATGGTAAAAATTGTTTAACACAAATCTCAAACCAGGGCGCTCAAGCCGATCTCAAAATGTATTAAACGTCTAAGATAAAGTAGTTACAAATACATAAATTCCCTTAGCCTCAGCAGCTCGAGTTTTACGTGCAGGATTTTAAGAGGTTCCATAGTGGAACAAAAGATGGCAGATCAGAAATTGGACCCCGTTTTACCAATGTCAGATTCGATGTGTTCGGACCTTAGACGGTTCAGACAAGGAGGACAAGTTGAGGAGTGGTGAACAATAAACGCTGGAGTCTAGTTTTCACGTGTTTAGCAAGTAGACTGACTGAGTACTTTTTAAAGAATGGCACGATTGCTAATTAGCTCGCTATTTATGATTAGTAAACATTAGAATTACTTGCCCCAAAAATGCAACTTGGTGGCTCATTGTACTTAGAGAAATTCATTTTGGAAATTCCATATATCTTAGACTAAGTTGTGCTCCAGCCATACTAACTAACAGTATTGGTTGTTGAAACAGACCTACAAGGATAAAGGAAACTTTCTGTAACAATGAGGTGCGGGTGAGGTGCCCATGTTAAATGGGTGTTTATAAAGAGGGGATAAACTCTTATTAATTGTGCATAGTTTTGTTGCACTAAGCTTTCCGGCATAAATTGTTTTACTGTTTTTATCTCACCACATCCTTTCTGTTTTAATATCAAGTGGTGTCAGTGAGCCTGGAAGAAGATATTGACTCAGAAGATGATTCCATAAGTGAGGTTAGATTTTGCATTTCGTAAAGATTCAGTTTACATGGCGCCCAAGTTTTTATTTAATTAAAGGTAGCAAATCTCTTTGGTACAAGTGTTTTTACTCTTACGTTTCAAAGGTCTCGTTGCAATGAATATACTTGTCAAAGATAATGCAGTAATCTCCAGTTCGTCAACACTCTGCAATGTTTACAAAGATCAAAATCAATGTACTGGCCCTCCAAAGTGCATTAATCTTTGACAAGTATATTTGTGTCTAGTTTGAAAAACTCAGTATTTTACGCAGGCATAATCCAAAGAGAAGTATCTGTGATGGGACATGACAATAATAATCAGGATTTTCTCTTAAGTTTTAAGTAGATGAAGGTTCCTGTACGGAATGTTCAGATACCTTGGAGCCTTCTTTATACTTACTGTCTCTTTCTTTCTCCTTTTTGGAAGGAAATAATTTCTCAGAATGAAAATGATGTAGTTATCGAGGACATATTTGAAAGGAGTTCAACGACACAAAGAAATGTTTCAAATGAAAACATTGAAGAGGAAGATGGTGCTGAATCAGAAGGGACATCTGACAAGAATGGTCATGTAGTTAAACATGAAGTGTTTCAGAATAAGGATTGTATTGATCAGGACATGGACCCTAAAATAAGAAAAGGCCTAAAGAAGATACAAAAACTGGATGCAATTCTGGCTGATAAACTGCAGGTTACTATCCCATTGACTTCAGAATTTGTCAAAATTTTTACATTGCTTAACCTATTTACACGTCAAAGGTCATCTGTGTTCAAACACGTCCCCATTGTTGTTTACTGAAAAGTCACAGATGTATTTGACACCAAACTTGTCGATAGGGGTAAAAAAGATCTTTCAAACCATATCTAAATGAGCTTTGAGTCAGTCAAACAGGTCAGAAAAAAATGCAGAAAACTACCCGACTGTACTTCCTATGACCTTCAAACATAATCATTATCCTCAAGGTAATAATAATGATAATGATAATATATAGATTTAGCCAGGGCTAAAAGCGAAGCTCTGGTTAATAATACGTGTAAACAAAAAAAAATTAATCGTGTAGCGGTAAACGGGGACGATAATGAAAATGGCTTCAAGACTAATAGATCTAATTAGCAAAAAAAACAAACTGCACGTGCACCACACTTTTTCCTCTTATTAGCAAAAAACCAGTTTGCACGTGCAGCACCCTTTTTTGTCTTTCCCTTGCCGTTGTTTTGCATGACTACAACGCTGTTTTGTACGACTAAAACGTCAAACTTCCTAGTTACACATTATTTTTATGGAGGAATTGTCGTATGTGCTTACCCAATATTTTGTTTCCTGTGTTCATGTTCGCGTTTATTTTTCACTGCCGCTCATTTTCACCTTACTGGCCGCTAGCATTTCTCATTTTCTCACCGCCGCTTTGAATTTCCATGTTTTTCTTCCTACGAAATTCGTCTCCTTT